CTCAGTTCCCTCATCTGCATGCAGACACAATGATAGTCACTCCTCACCTGAAAATGGAGATTACATTAATGCTTACGGAAACCATGACCTTGTTATGAGGCTCAAACCACTTCTCATTATGTGGTTCTTTGCAGTTAATAACATGATCTTTGGAATCAGACTAGCCAGGTTCAAAATCAAGTTCAAATGCTTTTAAGCTCATCACTTTTAGCATACTGCTCAACTCAGTGCTTTAGCGTCTTCACTTGTAAAAATGGAAATAATTATAGCTCCTATGTTATACGGTTATTGTGAGGATTAAACGAATTATGTATGCTGTATTTAGAACACTGTGTGGCACAGAATTAGTGCTCAAAATGCATTAGTCTTTATTGCGATAACTTTCTTCATTTTTCTAGTTACAATTATTTCCACTGCAATTAAAAACTCACACAATACAGAGGTTTCACTGCAATAAGAATACAGAGCCTATTGATTACAAGGAAGATTAATAGAGTAGAGCTTCACGGGAAGTGACAATCTTCAGGAACCCTGGCCTAGGAGCCCAAGCAGCTACCTCCACCTGGTAGTGGTAAGAGGATCTGAGAAGTTTTCAGTCGGGTGGCTGGGCTTTATTCAGGCCTCCATTCTGTCCAGTCAACCACCACCATCGTCACAAGAACCAAGTCACAGTGTACACAGAGCAACCACTTTGACAGGCTCCTGCCAGAGAAGCTTCTTTAGAAGAGATGCTATGAAGTGTAGTCAATAGAACCCACCCAGGATGCCCATTTTGAAAATAAAGAAACAGCAATGGGCAGATTCAATAGCTGTCAATGCTTCTGCCATTCAGGAGAGGAAAGGAAGGAATCTTAATCCATGTGTTCCAGGCTGCAGAGCCCACAAATTTTCAAAGACTTTTAATTTTCTACAAATAATTCTATGGCTACAAAATTTTTAAATTATAATTGTCTACACTAAAACCTACATTAGACTTCTTTTTAAGGTGCCAGCTACTCACAGCTTCCTTCCTGAGGCCCATCCCCAACCCCAGGCTAGGCTCTTCCCTCCCTGAGACCACCAAGATCCAGACAAACAAATTACATTTAGCGAGCTTCCAGGCTAGACTAATCACAGTCCTCTGAGGAGCTAAAAGTCTTCACAAGTTAGGTATTGGCACTGAAATTGAAAGACCGTGCAGATTCAAAGCGTGTGTAGAAAGTGCAGTAACCTGAGAAATGGGGTTCCACGGAAAGAGAAGATTGTCTCCTCCACTCCTTCCTCACAGGAGAAAATGTACAGGAAGAAGCAGGGAGAACTGCGAGAGACAGATGGAAAAGCAGCCTCACCTGCTTATATTTCATGGTCTCAGGTCCACCATTCAGACCGGCTGGCTCCTCATTTCCTGTCCTCCAATTCTGGGAGCTCTCTGCACACTGAAGCCCTCACAATGCTAATACTCCACCCTCCTTTTCTTAAGTAGCTCAGAGTCTCCATGCTCTGTAACCAAAAGAGCCTTGACTGGAACAAAGAACACTGAGCTCAGAGAACCTCACTTGCTATAACATTTCTGCACTTCCTCATGCTCCTAAGAAGAAATGCAGAAACAAACAAACTTGGTGAAACAAATGCCTAGTGCTTAACATATATCTCATGCTGTACATACTTCATATTCTATCAAAGTGATCAAAAATGTTATCAAATGATCTCTGCGAACACTTTTCGTGTAGAACTGTGAATGCATTCAATTGCAATTGTGTTAAACATATTTTGTAATGATTCAGGATATTGACTCATAAATTTGTATTTCTAGTATTATTAAATGTATAACACAGATGAGGCCCTGTATTTCTAAATTTACGATTTTTAACTCAAAGAGAAGAGTATTTAATTCGAGGGAAGAAATATGCTTTGGTCTTAATAATAAACATAATGTCTTTGGTTTATGGAGTGAACTATATTTCTTCCTGTCAGACTATAACAAAATAGTCCCTATTGTTAGCAATACTTCATTATCAATTTTTGAAAATATCTGGGAAATCAAAAAAGGCAATAGAATTGAGGATAAGAATATTCAATTTTGTGCAGGTTAATCTGAATGATTAAATAAAAAAGACAATATGTAGAGTAAAAATTGCTGTAAAATGGCTCCTCTTCTATTTTATTTGCTATGAGATGATGATATTTTAATACTAAATTAAAATATTAGCTTAGATTAAATGTTTTCAGTGTAGTATATTAAACGCAGGGATCAATCTTAAAGTAAATGAACACCTTATTAAAGAACAAAAGATATCTAACTGGATTTTGTATGTATATTAAAGAAATTTAGAGTAAAAAAAATGTTTCATTTTATGGGGGACTGTCATCTATATGTAATATAATTTTCACCGATAAGTGAGGTAGCAAGGTAAGCATAAAAACTCCCAAAGGAAAATCAAGGCATAGGAAGGCATAAATGATGTTCTAAGGTCCTAATAAAAGGCAGTGCATAGACAAAGACCAACCCTCTTAACTCCCATCCAGGATTCGTCTTCTACACTAGGTTCCACAAGGCTCCAGGACTGTTGCAATCGATTCTAATGACAAGGGGAACTTTGAGGAGAGGAAGTATTTCCCTAAAAATCTAATTCTATTTGTGTGTGTGTTTCATGTGTGTTTCAGCATACTACTTCCCTGTGTTGATAGAGCAGATATTTGATGTAGTTTTGCAAAAAGAGAAGATAATTTGCAAGTCATACATAATATGTTTTGATAGAAATGCTGTTCAAGGGCTTTTTTGAAAAGGCCTTTTCTAGAAACTATACTTGCTTTGGGGCCCCAGTCCAGTTTCTGTATCACAGAACATATAAGGAACATGTAATAATATGTGCTAGATAGTGTGTTGAGAATTATAGGAGATGACAAAGTCAGTATACTCAAAAAGATATAATTTCTTTGGATAAGGCATCAGGAGAAGTAAGTGTGAACTAGATACCTCCAGCACCTAAAAAAATTTCCAGCATATAGTCAGTACTCAATAAGTATTTTTTAAATGATAAAAGGACAAAGCTTTTCTTGAATATTCTTAATAACCAGGTAATTATTTTGCTTTTTCCTTTGTGTTGGAAAGAATTTAAAAATTGAGACAAAAAAGAAAAAATAATACAATTCATCTCAATAGATTCCTAGCACCCTTATAAGATTTACAGGAACCATTTCCTGGAACACTTTATTTTTGTTTCTTTTCTATCTTCATAGAGTCAGCAATACATATCTACATTGCCTTGAGATAATCAAGTGCTTTTTAAAATTCCTTATTAGTCAGTCAGATTTATTGCTCATCTTAATTTTATTTATAAACATTAAATTCTATGCTATCTAAACAGACTGCCTTAACATTTGTGAATTATGTGATATTATCTCACTTGTAATAATGAAAATACATTTTCAGTGATTTAGTATAGAAAATATTTTCCAAGGAAAAAAGGACAGTAGATTGGTTATAATCTGACATCATCACCATCACTCGCAAATGCATGTGTTATGGGTCTATTTGCACATGATGTTTCACTGGGCACTCCTTCAAACACCTTATTCAGTGAATAAATCAGCAGCTACATGACAATAGTCTTCCTGAAAACAATCAAACTTGAAAACAATATTGAAATATACAGTTATGCAAGAAAAATGCTTGCCGTAAAAATTCAGGATATTATGGGAAGTCAATGTAGAAATTCAAGATTAAGTTCAATAAAAAAGCATGCATTATGTTTTGAGAGTGATATTTATCAGAGAGCTCTTCTCTTCTAAAATGCTTTTGCATTTACTAAAAACAAATTTGAGCACGAAGGTAACTTTTTTCCAAAATATTCAATCCATTGAACTCTTCTTTATACAGAGCTCTGAATTTGCATGAGTTCAATGCAAATCTCTCAAGAAACATGTCTTTGTTTAAAGCTCCAGGATTTACCTCCAATTTTTCCTCAAACAAGTCCCCTCTTTAGTCTCTCAGTTCTCTATTTCAATGCGTTAAATAGCAAAATTCAAAACAGAAAGGAAATAGCATGGATTTGTCATGGCGCTAAATACCAGCCCAACTCATTTTCCCTAATCTTAAGAGGAAAAAAGTGTCTGAGAGGACAATACTTTTTCCCCTTCTTACGGTACAATACTTTTTCCAGTTAACTATAAATTAGTAACAGACTTAATCAGACCCTTTTAAAATGTATCTCCTTATTTTCTAACCCAGGTTCCATAAGTATTCATAACTCCTAGGTTCATTATTTTTTTCTGAGAATTGCACAAAACTAAATATTATACAACTGAAAAATGAACCATATCAACTCTGTTTATTATTGATAAAATTTTTACTCCAGAAATATCAATTATTCAAAAATATGTTCAATTATTCAGTAAAAGTTTTTACTCCATAAATATCAATTATTCAAAATTATGCCACATTTTCTAAAGACATGTTAAACTGACACAGTTTTGTCATTAAGGTAATCAAATGTAATAATATCCTACATCAAGGAGACTTCTCTTTTGTGTGATTTTTCACTCACTCACTAACTAGGAAAGTTTGAAAGCTGACATTCCTGCATCTCTAGTTTCCAGGATCACCAGGACACACATGATGCAAAAAGAGTGGCTCTCACTTCCCCCTTATTTATATAAGGATTCAAAAAGATGTTCTTTCTTTCTGTGGTGAGTGTGGCAGACATCGTTTGTCCCTAGCCAGCAAAGATTTTTCTCCTCTTTATTCCTTACCAGGGGATCACTCCTCAGCATCTTTTCCATCTGGACTTCCACAGAGAGATGGAGCAGGAAGAGAAATGATTTTCTTTCTGATAATAAAAGAGAGGTATTGGGTGCCGGCCCAGTGGCATAGTAGTTAAGTTCACGCCCTCTGCTTTGGCTGCCCTGGTTCACAGGTTCAGATCCCAGGCGCAGACCTACACACCTCTCATCAAGCCGTGCTGTGGCAGTGTCCCAAAAACAAAATGGAGGAAGACAGGCACAGATGTTAGCTCAGGGACAATCTTCGTCAAGCAAAAAGAGGAAGATTGGCAACAGATGTTAGCTAAGAGCCAATTTTCCTCACCACAAAGAAAAAGGTGTGAGAGGAAGATCTTTCTCACTGTTTGCCTTGAGTGTTCATTCACTGAAGAGAAACACAATGGTTGGAGTTGCTGTACCATCCTGTGACCACCTGGGACAGGAAGTCATCTAAAATCTGAAGAATACATATAAAGCATATACAAAAAACAATCTAAGGCAGGCTAATAACATAATGAGTTTTCAAATGAAATATGAAGATAATTAAGGCAAATGCTTAATTTTGACTTTTTTCCCTAGAATTAGTTATATGTGAACTCTGTGTAAATTATTTCCACAAATTCAAGTAAAAGAATTGTTTGAACCAAATTATAACATTAATGTGCTTATGCAAATATTAATATTTATATTAAACATTTCCAAATGTTCTTCATTATTGAAGAACGCTTTGAGAAGAAGAAACTTGCCACCAAGCTTATTGTTATTATTATTTTAGGAAATAGTTACAGGATAAACACTTCACACGTTCCTTTCCTTTCCCCATTTTTCCTTTGACCATTTCCAAATTATAGAAAAGCTGCCTTTGTGAGGAGGGTTAATCCGTTTAAATATATCAAGATACATCACATGGGTTTTAACAGGAAACTCATTTCACTGTGTTGAGAGATCAGCGTGGTGTTCTCACTAAGACATTTGGACAGACGATTATAGCCGTTCAGTCAATGCATGAGTCGCGTCACTGCCAAGTCTTCCTCCCTCCAGTCATGGATTACTGACCTTTGGGCAGCTGCCTATGCAAGAACGAAAAGATGCATGTGTCTCTGTCTGAAACCCTCTGTAGTAATTCTAATTGACTGCAGTGATATCTACTGGTGACAGTGGAGAAAGCTGACAGCTGCAGGTCCTGTGGCTGCAGCCAAAAAGCCACTCTTGTGGAGCTCTGAGATGAGTATATTAAGTACTTTTACTAGCTCAGCTGGTAAAGTTACTTTAGCTCACTTGGCATGAGCACTGGCCTGAGAATAGTAAATCAGCTCTTAAAAGTATCTTCTTGTCATCTGAAATGTAAATGTTCAGTGAGCTAACACTAATCCTCACTTATAAATAGAACTGACCCTCTAGTGCTGTAGTGTCATCAAGAAACTTTTCAAGAAATGAGAGATTTTGCTAACTTTTCTTTTCCTTTGCCTAACCCCATTTGCCCTTCGACACACAATAAGTGGAAATCATAGAACAGCTCAAGATTAGATATCTTAAAGAGGATCACAGGTGAACACTCCAATACATTAGTGTGCCGGACTCACACAGGAAAATGCAGTCAGAAGCTAAACTTTAAATTGTTTGTAGAGAAGAGGAGAGAAAAAATATCTGCTGTCAGACAAGTTGGAGCAAATGAAACATACCGTTAGGGCATCCACAAAGTGCTATTGTTTTTAAGTAGCATATGCTGTCAAACTTTTCCCCAAATCACCTGAAGTTGCTCATGAGGTTCTGTCTTAGATGGCAAAAAGAAATGACAGAAGTTCATCATTTTCAACATACTAGAATTCATCACTGGGAATAAACTTTTCCACTAGATTATAATGATTTAGTCCTGCTTGAGGCTTGACTGAATCTATGTTTACACGTTTACTTTATCGAACAATACATAAAATACTCCAAACACAATCACAAACATCAACAAAGAAATCTGAAGATTCTAAAGTCCTGCTTGTAACATAGACAAATAATTGCTAGAGGCACAAAACTTCAACTTTTCCAGCAAAGAAAGCGTGCAATTAACAGAGAAGCTAATTGAATTTTTTCTTACTTGAAATACTTGACAGAATGGGCTGTGTTTTATTGCCTTTCGTATACCAAATGCCTTGAACATAGGAGAGCAGAAATAGTAGATGCTTGGTAATTCATTGCTAAATAAAAAAATAGATAAATGACATTTGTAAGCAGCAACACATTCTTGCCATTTCTGAACTTAGCTGGAAAGTAAAATTGGCAAAATCAAAATTGGATGGTGCAGTGAAATCTACAAAAATAAAACAATTTATCCTTCCTAGGATGCCCTTATAAGTGAATTAATTGCTTGTTTTATCTAATTAGATATCCTCTAAATATCCCAAAGATTAGCTTTTCCCTCATTCATCACATTTTAATATTATCAAAGTGTTATAAATTACACGGTTTAAGCATTTTACTAACATAGTGCTGTTTAGGATAAGTAATATTTTCTCATTAAAATCTTCTTTGTAATTTTTCCCCAAAACTTTGAATCCCATTTTTCAGATATAGATCTTGTTTTTTAGCTTAATTTAAAATTAATGTTCTTATAATACTTTATAGGAGAAGCAAAGCAGGTCACTTTCTACAATGATCCAGGTTTACAAAGGAAGAAATGGAATGCCTTAAAGCAGATAATCGGACAGAGTAACAGTCTAAGGAAGCAAGTTCATCTTTATACTGGGTTTTAGTTTTATGTTCCTAAATCCAGTGCCACAAAGGTTTTAATTACTACTCATTTTTAAATATGCTCATTTAAAATATTTTAAGTAGTGCTCACTTAAAAATGCTCATTGAATTTGCCAACTTAAGTGCCCTCGGGAACACCTTTCCTGCAGACAACGCAGATCGTAAATACTATGATCAGGATAAAAATAAGGAACAGTGGCTGCCAGGGAAAGATGGCCGCTTGGTCTCCTCTTGGTAGCACAAATTCCCTCACGTACCCGAGATGCTACCTCTATGTCCCTGGCCATTCACAATGAAAACGCAAACAAAGAAGAAAGGTCTATAGATCGTAACAAGCTATATTTAAAAAGCTATTTGATTTGGGCTCCAGATCTGCCCAATTGTTTAATTACTCAAATTTAACTTTCCAGAATGATTTCTTATTATACTGGCTTACACAGACACTAAAATAGAAATTAAAATGCAGAAAAGCATTCAGGCAATAAACTGAATAAAATTCAATGGAATAATATATCTGGACAACTCATACGCTTTTTAAAATCCTGGCTACAGCTTGGATCTCATCTATCCTATTATTTGCTTAGTGTTATAATTAACAGAGGTTCATAACTGAAAGGTTATGTGAGAATTGTATTAATTCTATAGTTCTCACCAATTTATTTTTCATTTTCTAAAATCATAATTATGTGTAGTTAATCCAAACATGTGCATTAGTTTCCACACAGTGTGTGGTTTGTTTATAGTTTCAATTTTCTCATCGGAGAGACCCAGGTTGAATCTAGGATTCCATTAGTTACTTTGTCCAATTCCTAAATCCTCTGAATCTGTTACCCACCTACAGATATAGATAATACCTTTAATTGAGCATTTGTATAACATTTTATATTAATAAATGCAGTAAAATTAATAACAACAATAATAAAATTATGCTTATTTCACGTAAAGAACTATTTGGGATTTGATAAAGAAAATCAATGCTAATGTTGAGGTCTATAGAATATATCATCAGTATTTCATTGGATCATTTAGGAAAGTTATGATTGAAAATATTGTAAAAAAAATTAAGTTGTCAAATTTGTACAACCTAAGAAACCCTTCCTTCCACCAATCCATGATATCATGTAGAACTCCAGAACACAAATTATTTGCAATAATGCATTACAATATGGATCACCAAAGAAGTGTGTCACACCATTCTTTTGAAATGATTCTTCACAAAGCGTCACTATTTACCTTCTTTCTGCTGGAGGTAGGGAGGATGGGTTTCATGGTAAACCAAGAATACACTGTGCTTCCCATGAATTTCAAAATTCACTTAAAATTTTACCATGAATTTACCAATAAAAAGGCTTGAAGAAGTCCTGCAGTAAAATATTTATTTGATTGTAAAACACAATTGAGTGGTGCACCTATAGAGATGCTGCCTTACAGATCTGGAAGAAGCAGAAACACGAGATTAAGAACAGTGGAAACAAAGGCTCTCATAGAATTAACTGATATCTAAAGAAACTAAATTTATTTCAAAAACTATGTATAAGCTTATTTGATAGAGGTCCAATTTTCATAGGTATATTAGAATGATTATGTCAGCTCTAAGGGATAAAAATCAGAGTAATCACATCAATGACTCTATTGAATAGATTTGTTAAGGACATAATGAAGCACAACTTCAAATTATAAAAAAACAAAGATTTTTTCAAAAAAGGACACTTTTGAATACATCAGCCCATATGTCATAAATCCAATCTAAAAATGCTCTGCAAATTGGCAACTGCAACCAAAGCAGTGTATATTGTAATTCTTATGTTTTCATATTGTATAGGGTGGTTTCATTTGTTAAATTATAAGAAAAACATAATACACTGAGACTATGGTTACCTTTGAACATGAGAAGCAATTAATTGGATAGAGAGGAAATCTGGTAGGGAAGAACTCCAACCTGAGAAGATAGCAAAGAGTAGTAAGATGACTAACAAAAAGCAAGCAGGTAGGGTTACCACAATTTGATAGTGCTATAACTCAAAGGATCCAGCACAAAAGTTTATTACTCACAACACAACAAACAGCAGGAGCATCAAGATGGTAATGCAGCTTGAATCCCAGAGTCCCAAGGGGAGACAAGATGGTCCCAAATGCAGACTCTACACAAGGTGGGTTGTGCCACATTGGAAGAGCCTAGGTTCAAGGGCTCAGCGCTTTTTGTAGGAAGCAGCAAATAGCCAGTTCTCTCCCCTAGGGAGTAAAGAGTTGCCTAATAGTCACATATAGTTTCCTTGACCTACTTAAGTGTTTATGTGACTAGCTACTGAAACTGCTCATCATTAGGAGATAGTTGATATATTTGATATATTCAGCAAGGATGTACAAGGACACTCAGGGACCATGGCAGACTGCTGCCAACAAGAGCAAACAATGTCTGAATCAAATTAATATAAAGGAATTAAACTCTATAACATATGTGTAGCAGTTATTTTTTTAAAAAACTGGTTAGTGTGATAGTTGGTAATCATGAGATTGACCATACGAGATTAATTGTTAGCCAATAGTTTTAACTCAACTTTTTTTACCCTTCAAAGTAGCATGCTGTTATTTGTCAATTTTTGCATTTTAGGAGAATGATCCACCTGTTTAGATATAACCTCACTTATAGACAAAATTATAAAATATAAACATTCCTTCATTAAAATCTTTTATTTTATATTTGCATAACTTGATGCATCACTACAAGAATTGCATAAAAGGAAGCTCTATCTGGACCTCACTCAGGTAAGTACATCTGAAAGTTTGATTACGGTTGAATTATTTTCCAGATAGTAGGGTAGGTAAAGCTATTATAAATTTTATTATCTATTGGCAAAATGTTGTAAATGTCATGTTATGAAAAGTTCCAATATTATGAAAATGGTAATAGTGACATCAAAAATAAAATCAAACAGTCTTTACTAACATTTATGTACCAAAAGACCAAACAAAATTGGAGAGTTTTCACCTCATTATATCATGAAAATTCTCTTTCGTATTCTTAAGTCTGGTGAGGGATACATACATCTGCGTGTATTTGGATAAAGTGCAAATACTACACGATGTATGTACTGAATGCTAAGAGACCACAGAGAAGACCGCTTAAAACACAGCCTGTGTTGTGAAGGCAGGTGGCCTTGAAATCATCCCTGGACATGGTGTTGATATCAGCACCTTGTCGGAGGAAGCATTAACTGAGTAGACAAGGAAAGAAGGACATCTCAAAGCAAAAGTTCGATCTGAGAAACCAATACTGAACTAGCTGAAATGTAGCATGGAAGAGTGGTAACCTTGAAAACTTTGGCTGGAGCACTAAGCAGGGTCCATGTCATAAAAGACCCAGTAGGTCATTCTGTTCTGGTTTAAAGCTTGTATCCATTAAGTCATGGGATCCACAAAACATTATTACGGAAGAACATCCCATAATTCATTTTCAGAAACAACATTTTTTATTCAGCGGGAAAAGGGATTTAAGAAACACCTTAAGTCAGTCAATTTAGGAAGAAAATAGTGTAATTACTCAAGTGATAAATGATATGACAGCTAGAACTTAGGTGGTAGCAATCTAATGACGAGATAGTGGAGGACACTTGAAAAGGTGGCATCATGAAATTCTTGGAGGTCAATTAATTGTGTTTGGTGAGGAATAAAGAGGAGTTCAGGAGGATTACTAACTTCAATATAGGGAGATCAAAAACATGATCCACGAGATGGCAATTTAGGGAAAGGATGAGGTTGGAGACATTGTGGTAGAGTGGTAGAGCGAACTAATGATCCCAGCTGGTTACTCTTTCTATATTAGGGTCATGCATTCCTACTCATTATATCACTTGCCCTGAGGGAAAAATATACGAATAACTTTATTGATTTTGAGCATAGTCAAATGACAAGTTTTGGTCGAGGAAATGTGAGTGAATATGATGTTTCCCATGACCTCATCCAGGCAAGTTTTAAATATTCCTGTGAAATATGGCTTGAGGTCTTATATTCCTAACCTCTGCCATGAGAACACCCAGATAGAGTCCCAGGATTAGAAGACAGGCAGAATCTGGTCAAGCTTAGCAGAGACATAGTTGACCTATGGCCCCCATGTTATGTAAACAACAAATGTTAGTTATTATAATCTAATGTGAAAATGAGTTGTTTGTTATCACAACAAAACCTAACTAATTAGCAAATATGTTTGGTTCAGTTTAACACAACATATTTGAGGTATTTACTAAGAAATCTAATAAAAAATGTCTGATAGGAAGTCATTTAGGTACAGAAGGTACAGGATAATCAAATAAGAGGCAAAGGATGAAGATAAAAAGAAAAAAATGTACCTCCCAAACTGTTTTGTCAATAGTAAAGAGGATTATTCAGTGAGCTCCTTTTTTTTGGACTAGATAAGAAGTCAGCTGAAACACCTCTATCTAAAGATGAGGGTGTCACAGTACAGCCCTAAATTTTGGTTCCCAAGGTGAAAATAACTTTTTGGTTGCAAGATAAGCAAGAGCATGAACGCATGTAATTGAGGTAATGAGTAGGCCTGTGTTCAGCGAATTATCATCGTTCAGTAGTAACTTTTAGAAATCCTACATCACTATACCCACAGTCTCTCTAGAAATATTAGCATCTTGGGATTGTTTTTTTTTCTTTAACTTTGAAAAGGACTCTAATATTGCCAACAGAAAAGCCATTGACTCAGTTTTATTAATGACATAAAGTGTTAAGATGTTTGATTTCTAAGACATACTGACTTTCATTTGATTTCAATCTATTGCAGCCTTAAACATTAGGTGGGTAAGAGCAGCCCTCTGAAATTTTCCTGTGTGAGTTCACAGGTGTTAAAATGTTCCGGTGTCTCATTATTAAGCAAGTTAAGCTCTTATTTTATCAGTTAATGTGGATTAATTTTATCTTTTCCCAACCCTCTGACCTTCTAGGATTAATTCAGCTGTAAGAGAATAAACCATTTAAAGAATTATAACCTTGCCAAAAGTATAGTTCTTCTGGGTTCCTGGGTTACTCATGCAAATTGTTTCCTTCTATTGTAAATACCCAATTTAATAGGCAATTTCTAGAGGGTACATGGCCTGTCTTTGTGATAAAAGTCACAAGAATGTCTGAAGATGTGTTATTTACACTCAAACACTTAAGGAATCAAAAAATGAAAATAAAAAGACTTCAGGAATGTGTTACTCGCTAAGATTTTCAGGAAAGAACAATGTCTTCTTTATTTCTGTATCTCCAGTGTCTAGCCAATTCATGGCACATAATAAGCACTAAAGAAAAGATTGAAGAATGGCATTCCCAGCCAAGGCAGTTCATTAATGTGTGTAAGGATATATATACAGTACTTAAGAAATACTCGAAGATCACTGCAAAGATTAGATCTAGCCAGTACTATTAATGAGTTGACTGATAAAAATAAGTTAATTAGTGTACAACTTTGAGATGTAGACAATTTTTGACTGGCACCAGACATCCAACCAAGGATATATAAAAGGCTATGTGAATCTATATAGGCTAAGCAATGATTTTCAGAAAATCAGGTTATCCAAGAGAGATGAGGGAGGTTACTACTTACAAAACATGAGCTGGAGGTCAGCTTTCAGAAACACAAACTGGAAAGGAAATCACCAAGAAGAGATTTTAAGTGTTCAGTGTGGGTCTGAATTTGATATTCAATCTGTTTTAAGCATACAGGCAAAAAACCATGACATAGGAATGTCTCAAAATTAAGAATGATGGTCAAGATCAAACAAGAGAATAGGATTCTTGTAGCAGTCTTTCTATATAAATTGCCAAATATGTCTGCCTCCCAGAACAACATGTGTTTCAGTAGATGCTAGTAGTAATAGAAGAGGGTCAATTTCTCCAGAGAGATCTCAATAGTCTTCCAGTTAGATTTTCAGGGGAAAACTCCTCTGCAGTTTATTTTCTCTTGTGATTCTGTCACCAGTTCTGTCTAAGAATATAAATATTGTGTGGGTAGACGTTTTATGTGCCTACTAAATAGGCCAATATTTTAAATGAATTTTAACTTTTAAAGTTAACTGAAAAATTAAGTTTTAGACTTAACTTGTCATAGCCATTTTATGGAAATGGACATTAAGACAAATAAATACATACAATCTGCATAAATGTCAATGTAGCCCCATCTTACCACCAAAAGTTCCATACTTCGTCTTCACTTTGAAGGTGACAAGTAACACAATTTGCAAAGATAAATAAAGAAATAATTAATAAATTATTATAAATTATAAATTATTTATTTAAAAGTTATAAATAAATAAATAAATCAGACAAGTAAAATATCTGGCTTAGCTGAAGGATAGAATCCAGCATTCTGCAGACCGTTGAATGTCCTGGAACACCAAAAACTAACTAGGATTCTTTAGATAAAAGAGGAAGAAATTAATTGACATACTGTTAGTTATGTAATATACACTATTCTATTCAATGATCATAGTAATTCTTTTAAAAAGACACTATTATTTTGAATTTTCAGACAATGAAACAGGTTCATACTGCTCAAGGAAATTGTGCAAGATCACGTGGCCAGCAAGCAAAGTAGTTTTCATATAAACCTACCTCTGTTTGATTATTTTATTCATGCAGCAAGCATTTATTAAAAATCTAAAGTATGCCAGGAACTGTTCTAGGTAAATACAGCTCCAATAAACTTGGGAATATCCTGTTATATTTTCTTTTCTTTTTAAAAAAAATTTATTTATTTATTTTCGGATGTACATCACATTTTGAATTCTGTGTAGATTACATCATGTTCACCACCCGAAAACTAATTATAGTCCTCCTGTTACATTTTCTTAAGCAAATCATTTAACCTTTTTGAGTGTTCATTTCTCCATCCATAAAATGCAAATAATTCTACTATTTCCCATACAAAGTTAAAATAATATATATGAAATTGCTTTGTAAGTTATAAAGTGATATTCAAATATTAGTTTAAAGTAAATGATTGGTTTCCTGTTTTGTATTAGCATGGGCAAATATTTGTATCTGCAATGAGAAAGATAAAGAATAGAATTTAGGGAAATCATTCAACAATTGTATCCAACTATGTTAATTTGTTCGAGCTGCTATAACAAAATACCACAGATTGGGTGGTTTATAAACAACAAAAATTAATTTCTCACAGTTCTGAAGGCTGAGATGTCCAAGATCAAAATGCTGGTAGATTCAGTGTCTCATGAGAGCCTGCTTTCGTGTTCATAGATTATGTTTTTTTGCTGCGTCCTCACATCATGGAAAGGACTAGAGTCTCTGTGGGGTCTCTTTTATAAGAGCACTAATACTAATCATGGAGGCTTTGTTCTTGTGACCTCATCACTTCCCAAATGCCCCACCTCCTAATATCATCACTTTTGGCAATGGGTTTTCAACATATGAATTCCGGGTGTACACAAACGTTCACACCATAGCACCAATAATGATATATACACCATCTCTATGGGGATAGGGTTTGGATAGAGGAAATAAAGAATAAAATTGTTTGGAAGATGCATTTCTAATTCAAGACAGAAGAAATTTCAAAGCTGGGGTTGGAAGTACGTGATTTTTCTGGAGATCTGAGCAGACTTGTAACACTAAATGATGAAAAATTTGATGTCACCTTGAAGTGCTGCTGACCTCCATTCGGAAATTATTTGTACTGGTGAAAAATGAATCTTTGTAGTTCAGAAAAAAGAGTTTGAAGTGGGCGAGGCATTAGGTAACAAGTGAGGATACTAAGATCAAAGCAACAGAGAACAAAACAACAGAGACAGAGAGAGATGGAAGCAGAAGGAAGGAGTAGGGACAAAGAGAAAGAAGAGAAAATGAAATGTAAAAAACAAACTGATGGAGATCTTAGCATCATATCCACTATTCTGATTTGCTATACAGACAATTTCTTCATATATGAATATTGACATTGTTTGAACAGTATATAAAATATAATATTACAAAGCCATCATAAGATATAGTTGATACTGTGCACAATGTAATAGAATTTAATATAAGGATCAAGAATTAATATCTCCTAAATTAACTCAGTGCCTTTTTGGTGTTCTTTTCATTAAGGTTCACATGATGCCTTTAAATTTTATATATATCATGTTGTAATTTTTTTCAGAAAAATATCTAAATTTGCACATTAATCAAGTAAACAATGAATATTACTATCAAGACTCAATAGACTATAATCATTTTCATGTTTATAGTTCAGAAACCAAATTAAGGAGTCATTGCTCTATTTGAGAATTATTTTGTAACATGGGACCAAAATTATAAGGCATTCTTCCAGAGTAGGAAAAACCCATAATTGTTTGTATGGGTAGGGTGGGTAAAGATTAGGAAGCAAACATTTAGAGTGAATGAATCCACACATTAATAATTTAGGCCACTGTAAGGAATTGGTCTTTGTTTAGCTATTTATGTATACATGAATTCTTAAAGTGTTTATTTTATACCATAAGCAATTAATTATATATTAATGACTAGTTACAAAAACTGAAAGCATCATAAATTGCAGAGAATTAGAAGAGACATTAAAATTATATATTCCAGTGGTATTAAAATTTTTATAGCATCAACACTATTTATTCAGATGATATCTGATGTGAAAAACTGATTATATAAAATATAAAATGCTGGATAAAATAATTTAATATGCTTTCAGATATATAAGTCTGAAGAAAATTAACAGAGGCCAAGGAACATAATGGAATGTGGTTTCTGGAATTTATTAAGCAATGAAGTTGCCAGATGCCCTCAGGGAATAGACAGAACCAAAGCACTAGATCTCTTTCATATAAAAATTAGGAGTTTGTGAAAAGTAGAGAAGTAGATTGAAGAATACCAAACACAAAGCTAATCTTTGGATGAAATAAACATGTTGGAAAGGTAAAAAATAAATAAAACTGCACTAAAAAAAAGCAAACCACAAAGAGAATTCTAGACCTGCTGTTATTTGGTGACTTAAGTAAATGGCTAGCTAGATAGATAGATAGATAAATCCATTTTGAGATATAATGGGCACTATAACAATGGCTTAGTAACAGATTAGAGTTTGAACTTAACAGTGCCAACTCAAGATTTGTGATTTAATTGAAGAGGAACTGGGCTTGCTGTGCTCCCAGGACCTGAGAAGATCAAGAACAATTTCTCCTGGAAGAACAACCATGCAATTCATCCTCAAGAATTACCACAGGGGCTGGCCTGGTGGTGCAGCAGTTAAGTGTGCACATTCTGCTTTGAGGGCCCAGGTTCACTGGTTCGGATCCCAGGTGTGGACATGGCACTGCTTGGTAAGCCATGCTGTGGTAGGCATCCCACATATAAAGCAGAGGAAGATGGGCATGGATGTTAGCTCAGGGCCAGTCTTCCTCAGCAAGAAAGAAGAGGATTGGCAGCAGATGTTAGCTCAGGGGACATCTGAAACATCTAACAACAGAACCAACCTCACAAGTACTTCCAAACTACAATAGATTTTAAAACAATGCAGAACAATCATGTTTCTATGTTTAAGGGAGTAAAATAAGAAAAATAAAGTATAAATTAGGAGCCCTAAACTGTTATAAGTGATCAGGAAGCCTTGACGGTTAGTCAAATGGAAATTTTAGAAACAATGCACAAAAATACACATACACAAATTTTTAAGTAACAGTGGTCTTAAACAGAAAATTAGATAGAGCAGAGAAGAAGATTAATAAAATTGAAACTGGACACAAAGAAAGTATATGGAATGAAGGACAAAGAAACAAATATACGGAAAATACATAACGAATGAAATATAATGAAAAGAATTAGAAAACCCAAGGTCTATGTCACAGAGTTTCTAGGAACAGATTTTAGAAAGAAGTGAGTAGAGTCAGTTAATAAAATTCACCAATCTTCAGATTCAGAAAGTCCAAAGAATCTTAAGCAGAATAAATAAAAATAAATCCATGCCTAGTCACTTAAATGTTAAACCACAGTTACACAGAGAAGGTAAAGAGAAAAGTGATAAGCAGCCACAGAGAAAGAAGGTTTTCTGTAATTGGAAAGAAAATTAAATGATAATTGACTTCTCAAGAACAGTAATGGAAGTTAAAAGAAAATGAAATAAAAATGTGTTGAGAGGAAACCACCTTAAACCATAGAAACAACTGCACCAAGCGTTCATTCACAAACGAGGGTAAGGAAAGTTTTTCATATAAACAAACATAGAGCATGCCTAAATATAATTAGAATAAGTACAATAATTTTAAACTCCTTAAGTCAGGGATAATAGAGCTAAATTACAAGAAAATAGTACAATGTAAGTTGGGAAGGTAGTATTCTAAATTTCTTGATTTTGTTTTTTGCATGGCACATGAAAAATTTAACTCACTTTAGATTAAATTAAATATGCATGCTGAAAATATTAATGACTAACTTAACCTGGAAGAAGAGAAGCAGAAAATATACATTTAAACTAGGAGAAGGAAAATTTAATGAAGGGGAGGAAAACTTTAATCAGATCTAAAGAAAGCTGGGAAAGAATAAGATAAAACAAAATAAATTGGGACAAAGAGAAACAAAATATAAAATCATAAAAAGTAATCTAAATATATTAGCAGCCACTATACATAGAAATGGAAATGAACTAGATTAGTCTGAGTCAAATGCATGCAGTTTAAAAACATACCTCCTTTTTTAATCAGCTCCTTTAAATACATACAAATATATGTGTTTATATATATACATATACATGAAGGTATCAGTGTGAACTATGCATACAAAGATGTCTAAACCAACCAAATTCATCAGAAGAAGAGCATTCCTCAGTTTGCAGATATCAGTGGCCTTTCCTCAAAGAGGTCAGTACTTCTTCATTCTATACAAGCGGATCAGATCAGGCTCGATATGGGCTTCCAGACTCTTCAGAATGGCAGCTGGACCTTCTAAGAAGTAACATTAATCTGAATTAGAAATGCAAGCGTTAGGGACTGAATGTTCATCTACCCTTCAAATTCTTATGTGGGATGCCCAAACCTCAGTGTGCTGTATTTGCAGATGAAGGCCTCTAAGGAACTAATTAAGGTTAAATGAGGTCATAAGGATGGGACACCGATTTCAAAGGATTATATCTCACCAGAAACTAAATATGCCAGTAGCTTGATCATGGACTTCTGGCCTCCATAACTACAAGAAAATAAATTTCTGTTGTTTAAGCCACCCAGTCTGTGGTCCTTTGTTATGTTCTAGGAAGACATTGATTAGGGGGTAATGCTTATGAAACATAAAAGAAGAAGGAAGCAGGATTGGGTAGGGAAAGACTTAGATCCTGACACAGAGCTGGCAAATTCTTGGGCAGCCCAATGGAATCTCTGGAGCAAAGACTGCTCACTAGAGGCGGAAAGGTCAGACCCTAGTACCACCATCCATCACACTTGATCATTTGCTGGGGCTCCCTGGGAAGAGCTGATCTGGGCTCCAAACCTGCTTTGTTTGGGTATTTGGTTTCTCTACTAATTCACAATAAAATATTTGAAGATTTGAACAGTCCTTATTCAATAACTGATAGAGTCTAGTAGGGAAAAAAATAGTGAGAATATAGAAGATTTGAACAAGGCTATTAATAAACTTGAGCTAATTTGTATACTATTTCCAGCAACTTCAGAAAACAAACTCTCTTCAAGGGCACATGAAACATTCATCAAAATAGAAACTATACTGGTTCATTAAGCAGTTCTCAATAAATTTCAAAACCTTTGACCTGAATATCAATGAC